TTCAAACCTTCTTTTTTCCTTTGCTGCCCACATTCCATAACAAAAACATTGCATGCCATACTTCATTACAGGGCTTGGAAGACCTTCATGACCATAAATTTAGGAACTTGTGGAACACAATGGACTTTAAGATGGAAACAAGCCAGTTGGCCTATCTGGTCAGGTCCATCCCTTCTGTTTGAATTAACAGCTGGATTTCACAGTGGGAGAAATCCGGCAGTTCTTTCTCAGGAAAAATTCTCACAGTTGGATTTGCCTCCAACCACTGTAGCAAGGGTGGGAGGGAGCACAACTCACTTTGTTATTTTATGTTTGCTCTCCGGGTAAAAAAGATTCCAGCACAAGTTCCATAGGACCTACCCTGTTCTTTAATTTAATGACCCTAAGTGCAAAAAAGAAAGACATTCCCAGTAAAACAGAGACAGAGAGTAGGTTCTTTGTGCAGAGCAGCGCAGATGGTACCCACGTTCTGGAGAAAGCAATTAGAAGCTGATGCTGAGGCAAAATAAAGAGGTTAGAACCATTTGTTGCTCTGAGAATTCTATCTAGGAGAGGAGGTGCTGGCACAGATTTGCAGACTGTGTGAGGAGAGATGTTGGGTATAATATGCAAAGGTCGGTTTCACATGTGCTATTTCAATTCCAGAGGTAATTATACCAAACTTAATGGATTTGCAAGGATTTACATCCTCACAGCAGGGAGGAGATGATGGCCCAGGAGAGACAGAGATGGGAGAGGCCAGCTGGAATGAGGAGCACAGGATTTCCATGTCTTGACTTTGGGATCTGAAGATCACAGGCCGTGATTTGTGTTATCTGAAGAGCTGAAGGTTCAGGTCCCTGTGTGCTTGGGGCCGTGTGGTGGAGGTTCCCTCTTCTCCCTGAGCTGAGTGCAGTTGGACCTGGGGTATTGCTGCCCTCAGTTTGCAGCAGAGACTTGACACACAACCCCAAGAGCCCTTGAGATATCAGCTCTGTACTACTGGAAGAAGTGTAGCAAAGTTTTTCCCCAAGGCTGGTCCCTCCAAGCCCCTTCCCCTCTCACCATGTCCTCTCTATTGCTAGAGAGTGGGAGAGGCTCACAAGATTTGGTCTGGAACAGGCAAGTTGTAGCCAAAAGAGAAATCCTCTGTGACCATACATGCAGAAATCCTGATTTGGTTATGAGGGAGAAACCAACCTACTGAGTGGCTGAGGAGCTGTTCAGGCCATGGGATGGAGCACAACAAAGCAAAGGCATGGGGAGAGCCAGCTCTCCAACCTTCAAATGCTCCTTGGGCACTGCTTCTCTTTATGTGAGGAGTTAATTGGTCTCAGGTAAGAGAGACTAATAAGATCTTTCTGATTGACAGAAAAATAGGGGAACTTGGCTTTACTGACAAAGAAAAGGTTTGTTTTCAGCTATCCTGGTCTGCATTAATGCTCCCATAATTTGCAGGAGGTTCTGCTGAGGGAGAGGTCCCTGTAAGTGAGGTTAGCTGCTTGCCTGCCTTGGGTGTTACGTAGCCTCTCTTCACTGGGGGAGAAAAGATGCATCCTTGCATCTTTGACCTTCATTCTGAGGCTGAGCATCATCTTGCTGTGTAAAAAACCACTTCTTTGACACCAGTGGCAAAAACCTAAGAAATTAAATCAGTAGAAGTGAAATCGCTGCATAATAACCTGGCGTGGCTCCATCAAAATCTTTGTTTTGTCATGGGAAGCCTTCCTTGAGAAGGACAGACAAACAACCCCCCTCCAGGGTCCCTCAGCGAGGCCAAGCCTTGCCTCTCCCCAGAAAGAAACCTTTCATCTTTCCTTTGCAAAGGTATTGATGATCCTGGAGGGAGAGGTCTAAAGGCTGGTTCCCCCTCACTGTGCCCCCAGCCCAGCAGGCAGGAGCTGCTGTCCCCCACCCCAGCCTGGGGACAGTGTCAGCCCCCACGTGAGGCTCCTCTGCTGGGCTGAAGATATCCATGGCTCATTCTGGGTCTCTCTCTCTGCAGTCAGGAAGGTGCCATGAGATGGGGAATTGAGCCAAACACCTTCTCCCAGCCTGCCCAGCCCACTGATAGTCTTGGAGGATGCAGAGCCTTGCCCTGCACTGCTTATCTCGGGCTTCAGCTCAGCTTTGAACCCCAGCACTAAACAGGGGAATATTCACCTGCCTCGACACAGGGCAAAGAGGGATGCTCCTGTGAGATTTTATTTCCTTTCTTTATACAAGTGCCTGGCAGGCTTTGATGGAGCTGAAGAAATGCTGTGGATTCAGAGAAGAAAGAAACCTGGACGTTTTTCCCCCCTTCCCTGAGAAAAAGTAATTTACGTAAATTTATCCACGACCAGCACACAGCAATAGCTCACAACTTTGTTAATGGAAACCTGGTGATCCATAACACTTGTGTGGGAGACATTTGCTCGGGGGTAATACAATATTAATGTTAATATCAATGATCGATCAGAGGATTTGCAAGAAAGGCATAAAGTATTTAATTATAATTACATTGGGAATGGCTTTGTAATGGCTACGACATTTGAATAAGGTCACGTCTAGCCCTCACCCCTGTTATGTTGTTCTATATTAAATGCCATTCACTTTAACTGCTGGAAACCTTTCTGGAGTCGTCAGAATATAATATACTGGGTAAATTGAAATATGTCCCTTCATTTTTCGGAATATGATTGATATCCTTTGCAAAACAAATGTTAACACCTATTTGTACACAAATTTCTTTGATTATATGTTAGGAAAACTAAAGTATGACAGTCTCTCCTAGCAGGCACTTTACTGTGAGCAAAGGACGTGGCTATTTGTGAATATTAATTCATCTTACAGAAAATGGCTTTGGATCCCTGCTGTAAATCCACTTAGGTGTATTTTTGCCTTTCCTAATGCATTAATTCTATTTATTCTATTCTATTAATGCATTGATTAGTAGCCATAAACTGTATCTCCACTGGTCTCAGCAGCCCACAGTGTTCACTTTACACAGGTGTTGCTCAGGAGGAACTTTTGCTGTCACTGAATTATCTCTTGTTAACAGCATCAACCAAGAACACAGAGTAACAATCATATTTGCATGTTTCACAGCAGAAAATATGTATTTCAAATATACTGCAGGTGTGTACCATCACTATCAGCCCAACAGCAGCATTGCCATGTTTAAAACAACCAGGAAAAAGAATCTGCATAGAAAACACAAATATTTATCTGTAGGCAGGACCCCAGAGGTGCACAGGTACCCACCCACAATGAGTGCATGCAAACACTGAAGCACTAAATGAGGACATGCTCTTCCCACACCTAATTACTACTGAGCATAAACACTAAAGGAGCAAATTCTCGTCCCTCTTCACATGAGAATCCACTTGTCCAGTCCCCCCAGAGGTTTTCTTCTTTCTCTAATATTGTGTAAACAGCAGACCAATCAGGTCTGAAGAGCCAAATTTTACTTTCAGATTTTCACCCAGAATAACTGTTGATTCACAGAGAGTCGAAAGCTCCCATTTGAAGGCAGAATTTGGTCTCAAGAAATCATCCCTTCAAAGTTTGGAAGACATGCAGTGATGTAGTTGACATGATTTTCCATTTTCTCTTTTCTGAAGAAGAAGCAAAGACTTTTGCATGCTGTAGAAATGCCTGAAGATAACAAGTTTTATCGTTTTCCAAAAAATGGGCATTTATTACCAATCAGTGTGAAATACCACTGAAGGTAAATTTTAAGTATATGGCAGGAGTTTCAGCGTCATGACAACATACATCATGCATTTTTACAACATATAAGTGCAGTGATATTGCTCCCTTTCTCAATAACAATATATAAGAATATATAGTATAAATGTACAGTATATATTAGACACAATGTAAAATAACTTAGTGAAATGTCAAAGCTTCTGCATAAAAATTCAAGTCATGCCTGAGCATACCTCTATGCTGAATCTTATCTCATATACCTTCATTTACCTTTAGTTCCTCTTGCAAAGATAATTTTATCTCTGCATTTAATTGCTTAAAACCATCAGAATTCTTGTCCTTTTTCCTTTTAATCTGCAGTAGGTGAAGACTGTAGTATCCAAGTCAAAGCCAGGATTGTGTGGAGCCTTTGCTACCACTGTGTATGTTCTGGGAAGCAATTTATTGTGAACAAGTTGTATAAAAGCAACTTCTTAAAAGCTCATTACAGTTCATCATTGTCCATCAGGTTCTGTTCCAAAATCTCCCACTGCATGTAAATGGTAATGAAGTGGCTTTCTCAGAAATGGAGCTCATGAGCTAACACTGATATCTGGAAATTATAAATCTCACCAGTTTAGCTGAAATCATATCAAGCACCACTTTGGTAATTGCTTGCAAGAAGGATCAATAAAAATCTATTTAATGGGAATATACAGCTTGTCTAGGAGCAGGTAGGTGGAATTTAAGTTTTGCTCAACAGTCAACAGAGCTTTTTGCAGTGCTGGGCTTCCCTTCACACTTGTTAAATGAAATATGGTCAAGGACTTTTCTGCAGCATCTCAGGAAGATTTCTGATAGTACAGGGGAGGAAGTGCTGGGGTTTTCATTAACCAAGGCGTTAAGAGACTCTTTGACTGTCACATTACCTATCAAAGTCTACCAGAGTTCAGCACCCTTGCAATTCTGTCTATTGGAATTATTTTGTATACAACTTCAACAATTTAAACAATTCTGCCCCGAATATAAACAAAAATATACTTGACATACTTTATCAACAGCTATGTTTCCTAATGAACAATGAATTAAAGCTGCAAAGCAGTTTGAAACAGGATGTTAAAATAAAAAATAAGGGAAGACAGGATGATTTTCTATAGTTCTTTTTAAGAAACAAATTTCCACCCCTCCACCCCCCTACATTCCCAGCCAGTGTAAGTCGACAGAATTACACTGTTTTAGATCAGCTTAAGTTCTGACCTATATACCCCAGTGGAGTTAATCCTAATTTCCACCACTGAAAGTGGGATCAAATTCACTTTGTCTTTAATAAAGCAGTGGATGATAAGAAAGTCTCTTCTCTGTCAGATTCTGCTTGAGGAAGGAAATTCTTTGTGGTGCTAAATGATGTCCAAGACAGTTTAGAAAATAAAGCTAGAATTTCATAAATTTCAGCATGGTGAAAACCGATATTGGTAACTGTTATTTATGCTTTAATCTTAGCAAAGTTCTTTGGGTACAGACAGAGCATCAGCTGGTGAGTCTGTAACCCTTTCTGAGCACTGCTTGGGAGGAGAACGAGGAGGCAGGCAGCTGATTTTCAGTGACATGAGGCTGCTGAACACACTGAGACTCAGACTTTGTTACCACAAATAAATAACATCACATTGTCCAGAACTGGAGATTAATATGCGGGGCCTCCAGTAGGTGATATTTATTTTCTTGCATGTTATATTGAGATCTGAGGACAGGCAAAGGGTCAGGGGCTGAAAGGATGTAATCGATGCTAAATTTGATTTCAGAATCCGATTTTGCTAAGGAGGAATTGCTTAGGCTCTGCCTGTTGGTCACGCTGTTTGGAGCAAACCCACAAGGCTCCAGAAGTTTTGGGCCTGGTTCAATTCTTTCATGTTTACTTTCAGAAGAGGAAATGTTGTTCAAAGCAGAGTCCACAGAGGAGATATTGGGGGATGAAGGACTTTTCACTCTGCTTGGTCTCTGCTCCTTATGTTCCCTCTTCACGTTCCTCCTCCTCCGTCTTCTCCTGTAATTCCCATTTTCAAAGAGATCCAGCATGGATTCGCATCCCGTTGCAAAGCTCCAATAGTTTCCTTTCCCCTTCTCATTCCCTTCTGTTCTGGGAACCTGTATTTATTTAAAGGCAGTTCAGTATTTGTATGTGTTACAGATGCTGCTGTTTAGCATCTGCATTCATTTACATTTAAGAATGGTGTAAACACATATGACAAGACTTTTAAGCCCATTCTCTGTCACTCTATGAGTAAGATGTAAGCCCCATCCTCTTCAATTTGTTATCTATTAGCATACATCAGACAAGGATATATTCCTTATCTCTGTAATTGACAACTCAGAGAGATTTTAAGTGATTTGCAGCTCAGCTGTTTGTTTCTCTTCTTTCCTAGTGATGAGATTACTGCTGCCTATATTTTTTAGCCATGCACAGTGTGTATGTAAATACACAGTAACTGATCTTACCTTCACAAAACAACTGTTAAGCGATAAGTTATGTCGGATGGAGTTCTGCCAGGCTCTTTGATTTGATCTGTAGTAAGGAAATTTCTTCATTATAAAGTCATAAATGCCAGAGAGGGTGACTTTATTTGAAGGGCTTTGCTGGATGGCCATTGCAATTAAGGCAATGTAGCTGGAAAAAGGAAAACTTGCTGTTACACCATCGCCCTACTCACAGACTCGCTTTTTAGGACCACATGGGTACGTGTGCCTATATCCTGCTTCCAAAATTCCCCCGGAGGATCTGTGCCCTGACCTGAGGTGTCCCAGGGAGAAGTCCTGAGTGTGGTCACTGCCTGTCCTCCACGAGCCCCAGGTGACACCGAGGGGTCACTGCCAGGCACTCGGGGCAGAGGACAGGGTCACACACTGCACCAACTCCGTCTGAAAAGTTTTCCTGAGCAGGAAGGCTGCAGTGAGACAGACCAGGCTCAGAGTCACTGTCACTGGAGACCAAGCCTGCTCATGGAAAGGACCTTGGGTGTCCCTGTGAACATCTACACCGCGCCTCTTCCCACCACACCGGGATTTTCTGCATCCAATTCACCCGCTGGCACATCGAAACATTTAATTCCCTTCTCCCAGGGGTCCTGGAGGTCGGAGACTGTCTGAGATCTGGAGGCTTAAGGGCAAGCCAGAGTTGCTGCGACCCCTCATGGGAGGAAACAAATCATGAACACTTCACACACAGAAAGGGGGGAATCTGCCCACTGCAGTGCCTGCACCAGGGCCAGACCCACTGCGCACACCTGGCCCCCTGCTCCCCTGAGAGCTGTGATCCCACCAGCCCAGAGCTCAGACACCTCACCAGAGACAGGGGGAACTTGGAAAAACTTCATCTTACCTGTACGCTGGTCTGGTGAATTTTTTCTCCTCGTCAGAACTACAGGTAGGATAATCATCCCCATCATAATTGAAGCAGTTATAGGGGTACTGCGTGTTGTCAAACATCGTCCTGCTCCTTGCTCAGCTCCTGTGGAGTGAGAGAGATGGAGTGATGTTTCTCAGAGCTTGGGCTCCCTCCTCCCTTCTTCCCTCCCCTCTGTCTGTCTCATTCCCTCTCTCCCCCCTCCTCACACTCCCTCTCCTCCGTGCACACACACTCTCCGTGATGGGGTGGGGATTGTTTTTTGCAATTCTCTCGTCCCAGACAGCCCGTCTGTTGGGATATTATTTTTTGGGGGGTGTTGCTATTGCTGCTGTCGCTGTTTCCCGGCTGGGGTGGCACGGGCAGGCTGCTGGGGGCTGCGGGTGAGTTGGGGTGAGCCCTTGGAGCGGGTGTGCGGTGCCGGGAGCTGCGCTCAGCTCGCTGGGTGGTCCAGGCTGGAGAGGGGCCAGCGCTCCCCCCTCCGCATCCACAACGTGACAAAGGCAAGCGGCATGATGTTAATAAATCATGCTTCAAGGTCTCCACTTGGAAATTAAACTTTGAGAATGGAGTGCAGCTCCCCACAGTCCCCGAGTGCTCCCCCTCTGTATTTTTTCTCTCCCCGGCGGAGCAGGGTGGCTTTCTTATTTATTTATTTTTTTAGGAAAGAGACGTACAATAAACAGACTTTCCGGGCAGTAACGCACGCTTGTCCTGATCTGCAATCTATAATACAGTATAATAGACATAAATTGTATTTCCATGACTAAAGGAAAATCTGTATGTTCAAAGAAAGTAGAACAGAGGGATATGAGGGACTACTGTCAAGCAGGAAAGTAAAAGGAAAATAGCTGTAGGCAGGAGAGCTGCCTGTGTGGGCTTTGATCTGAAGGATGAATTAGACTAATAGCCCTGTGTGTTGGCATCCAATACTGTAACAATTTAATAGTTTTTCAATGCTTTGGAGTGTTTTCCAACAAGTGATGTAAACCAAAGGCATCATGCACCATTTCAGGGGGGACTTAAAAGGTGTGTGCCACATGATAATTAAATTATTTGAAGACAGCTCTGTCCCAGGAAATAGCCCCAGGAGGAAATGGGTTTTGGAAAAGAGAAGGCAAATTGGTGTGCAGAGAGTTTCCCTGGATGGAAATATAAAAGCAGAACCACTAGCAATGTAACTTTTGTTTTCTGTGGAATCTTTCATACAAAGTATGTCCCCAAACCCCTTTTGGAGTTAAAGGATACAATTAGGGGAAAATTCATCTGAGTGATAAAGAGCCCTTTAAAATGATGCTTTAGTGGCTCCTAGAGTTCTGACAAAGATGGACATAAGAAGGCTTTTCCTGTGGAACATAACAAGACATTATAGCAGGGCATAGGGGGAAATACATGGGATGAGAGAAAACATATAGATAGATGTTTTCTTGGGATTATTAAAACAGAGCAGATTGCCAAAATAAAAATTATCTCCACTCTAAAATACATCAATAGGCATATGCATAAGGCATCCACTGCTGAGGAGGTGTTAATTCAAAGGGTCAGCTGCTGGTGCCTAAGGCATTAACAGGGCTTTAATACTGAGTAAGATAGAGGAGATTCAGTGGAGGGAAATGAAATATGTAAAGTCTGATCTTCATTCATACTCTGTCCAGCTGGACTGGAAGGTTTAAAGTAAAGAAGAAGCCCTGTCACAGATTTGGGAAGATTCTCCTTTACTAAAACCCGTGATCCTTGAGACAAAACTAGATGTTCACTTTGATTTTTAGCAGTGGTTCTTCTCTTTGGAGGTGTTTTACCTCACTGAAATTCCAGCAACTCAGACTAAAGACTAAAAAAGATCCTGCTTCTGATTTATAACAATGTGGAAAAGCAGAACTGTGTTGGTTGACTGCTTCTACCCAACCTGTAAGCAAAGCACCCTTTTTTCAGTCCTTCGTATTCTATTTATGAAAATTAGCTTATGAAAAGTCAGACAATACACTTTGACCAAAGTCCTCTTATATTTACTGACAGTATTTAATAGATTAAGTTTTCTATAAAAGGAATTAGAGCAAATGACTGTAGTGTCACGTGTGTAGTAATGTTAATTATCTCTGCTTCTGTATTTTCTTGCAGGGGTGAGTGTAACCCACTTGTCCATCTCCAGCACATCTGCAATGTGCATCACAGCTCAGAGCCACTGTATTCCTCACCCATTCCAGTGGGAAATACACTTGGATTAAATTTCCATCTCAGCAGTTTGTATGGGAGGCCAGATTGAGCAGAAGGAGTCGGATCATGGGTCGGTGTCCCTGGGCATCACCTCAGGAGTGAGTGGGACCATGGGCGGGTGGTGCAGGACACAGGAAACTCCTGCCACTGCCACTTGTGTCACACATCATCTGGGGATAGACACTGTCACTTCCTGAGAGCTGGTGGATTTGGTTTCTGGCTCTGTAAATATCACTACATTCACCTGCTGCAAATTCATACAGACCCTAAGAAGAACACAAACCATTTCGGAGTCATACAAGATCAGAAACAAATTATATACGATCTCTCATAAACTTGCTTCTGAAATCCAGATATGCAAAACCGGCAGAATATTTCTCAAGGTAATTTTTAAAGCCTGCATGCTGATATTTTATCCCCAAGTGAGTGTTTATGGTCCTATTATAATCCTTGAAAATAATATTCATAAAGAAATGTTAACATGCTCTTGTATGTACCATGGTGGAGCGAGCAGGTGCCATGCTTATGGTGGCAGAACATGCTGTACAATAGCTTTTTCCCAGCATCTGTGCAGCCATTACAGTTTAACTAGAGCAATTATAACTCACCTCTGTCATTATCATAAAAGCATAATTTTTCCAGGCTAGTGTTTTCTTATGCTGTATATTTTCAGAACACAAAGTTGTAAACCATTTGATTTGAGATAGTAAATAGGCAATAAAAATGCCGCGAAAGATTTGACTAATTTTTTTAACATTGATATTAAAAAGTTATTTGCAATTTTGGTAATTATGACAGAGATTATGAAAGTTGTACATGAAATTCAGACAAGTCATAAATCCAACCAGGGCTGAATTACTGCTCATTATGGGATAATAGAATAACAGGGAGCACCTCAGTGTTTAGGACTGAAAGCTGACCTTCCATCTTCTTACTGGGGCAGACTGGTCTCTCCCAGCAGCACAACTTCTGCTGTTTCTCAGACTTGGTTGCAGTTCAGGACTTTATTCCAAACCTTTTAAATTTCTCATATAATCATGGAATTATTTGGAATGGGGGGGAATACTTTAAGATCATCTCATTCCACCCCCTGCCATGGCAGGGACACCTTCCACCATCCCAGCCTGCTCCAAGCCCTGTCCAACCTGGTCTTGGACACTTCCAGGGATCCAGGGGCAGCCACATCTTCCCTGGGCACCTCTGCCAGGGCCTCATCACCCTCACAGGGAAGAGTTTCTTTCTTCTATTCAACCTAAATCTATTCTCTATCAGTTTAAATCAGAGGAAACCAGTGGTGTTTTTCGGCAGGCTTTGAATCCCTCAACAACCACCTACACCGCCAATAAACTCCTATCTTTTTTAGCTCTTTTTTGTACAAGATCTGTCTCTCTGGCAAAGAGGAGAATGGGGAAATGAAGGTTCTCATGCACATTTTCTCCTAGTTAATTAGATATGGGATGAAGACGAGGAGACTTCCCCAAACCTGGATGGGTACTTGGCTCTCCCTGTGAGAGATCTCAAGGCATTCAACTTGGTGACCCTTTTTCCTGGGAAAAGGAAAAAGCTGCACTGTCCGCCTGAATTTCATCCTAAATTTATGTCTGCTTCACCCACATCCATCAGCTGAATTCCTTTCCCTTCTGCATCTCCTTTGTGTTCACATGCAGAACTTCATGGAAATAAAATTTCCACCACAATTTGTGGTTTTCTGCTGGAGTTCAGTGAGAATTGTTTATATTTCCTAGCTAGGGGGTTATTTGGAGAAGCATTCCTCATCTGCATGCCTTCTAGCTGCAGCAGTGTAAAACTCATGTATAAAGCACAGCACGTGTTTCTACCAAAACAGGAACATGGGCAAGAAACCTTCAATGCCAATTCATCACATCAGAGGTGGTAGTAAATAAGTGAGCAGCTACAGACACTCAGACATATCATCCCTGCCCTGGTTGGATAAGGAGATTCATAAAGCATATGTGAAAATCCAGTTCTGGAAACTCTCACTTGTGTTTTGGCAGTGAAAAATAGGAAAAGGAGGATTTCTAGGGTGAAAAGTCAGCTCTCCTACCTACTCTTGTGTTGCTCTCATGAATTCGTGGCTTCAGAGACAGTGGAGGGAGAATGTGGACGAGTCTCTAGCTTTTAGATTAAGTGAGATTCTGGAATTTTTTTTAACACTTTTTCTACTTAATCCCAAATGTAATGGAAAGATATTTTAAAAGCTTTATAAATAATTGGAAAATAAATAAATAATCACTTTTGGTTGGACAAAATTGTTTGGGTTGACCCAAAAGGACAATCAAAATTTTATATTCTGTCCTTGGTTTGCCCAGCACCTTTCTGCTGGAGGGATGTTGGTGGTTAAAAGGACACATCCCTGTTTCTCTCTTTGCTATGGATACATGAGGCAGAGGTTCAGAGTTTGTGTGCTTGTGATTTTTGAAGCACAAAATTAAATCCTTCTCTCTGAGATTGCAGATGGAAACACAGGAGGGATGTGCAAGCTTGCATCAGAGACCTGCCGAGGAATCACAGAGTGGTTTGGGTTGGGAAGGACATTAAAGCTCATCTCATTTCACCCCTTCCCCTGTCCCAGGGTGCTCCAAGCCCCCTCCAGCCCAGCCTTGGACACCCACAGGGATGGGGCAGCCACAGCTTCTCTGGGCACCCTGTGCCAGGGCCTCACCACCCTCATAGCCAAGAATTTCTTCTTAATATGTAGTCTGTCCTTTATGATACTGAGATTTTTCCTGCCTCAGCTATAAAAGCCTCCGAAATCCTGACCCATGGGGCTCTTGGAGTCAAGAAGGAGGAGCTGGAGGGTTTGGAATGAGAATAAGCTGAGAGATGATGCCATTCTTTGCCACACAGA